TATATATATATATATATATATATATATATATACACACGTAATACGAGATCTCGTCACATCCCTTCAAACCAATCACAAAGCTTATGCTATGCATCGTTATGTCATGCAAGTACATCTTTTTCGAGGTACATGGGTATGTGAAGGCTGGGCCGGAATGTACTCGTGCCCTTGGCACAAGTATAATATCATAATAGTATAATACGTGTAAATCATAATATAATAAGTATAATTCAGTCTTAACAAAACAGATCACGTGACTCCACATTTTATAGAGAAATTGATTGAAAAAATTTGATCGATTATGAATATAGATTTCGATTACTTTTCGATTAATCGCCCAGCTCTAATTGCAGCCATATGTAGCTCTGGCTACATAATTGCCGCTCTCCAGAAATGTATACAGGGTTTCGCTTTCACAATGATCCTGTGTTGCTTAGAACACTGTTGCAGTGTAAACAAAACACATACAGTTTTTTTTTGTTTTCTTTGTTTCTTTCTTAATTGAAAACGACCCTGTAAACAACAGCAATAAAGGTGCCCTTGAGAGCCGAGGCAAAATAACAGCTTCTTTTTCTCACTGATCCACTAATCTCACCTTTGCGAAAAGTCTTTTTTTTCCCCCTCCGTCAGTACAAATCAAGCACTTGGCTAATTTATTTCCCCCCTTCCCAGTGTTCAAAGCAGAAGCATCACTCAAACACTCAAACTGATGTATTTTTGGGGGGAGGGGAGGGGGGGTGCCCAAAGTCATACAATCTCGATCTTTTATATGCTGCCAATTAGCAATTACCAAGACCTGCATCAAGAAAAGGGAAGATGAGTGTGGGTGTGTGTGTTTATATGAGTGTGTGTCACAGAGTGCTGATAGCCGGGCTGAGGTTTTGTGGCGAGGGGTTGATATGACATGAAGAGTCCCTTTGAAAGCACCGAGCTGGTTATCTCCATTCAGGTTACTCGCTCTTACTGCGATGCCAGCATTCTCTGAGGACGCATGTGAAGGCGATATACAAAATGGGCTTGGGAGTTAACAAGCCACACCAGTGAAGAAGAAGAAAAAAAAAAAACTCTACTTGAGCCAAGCAGCTCCCTTTGCTGGCTTAATGGAAAACATATCAACACTTCATTTCTAATTAGATCTGCAATCAGTGGGAGCATAACCCACCTCTCTAACGAGATACTCCTCTTTCGCACTCCATCACACACACATGCACGCACACACATACATGCACATCATGTTTTTTTAACCTGCACAGCTTTCTAAAAGATGAACAACTAAAAGGACAGCTTTTTATGTCTCTCTATAATTCATTTATTATAAGAAATCAATAACTGTATTATTATTATTATTATTATTATTATTATTATTAGTATTATCTACATTTTCTACTAGTCATATATTATGTTTGTAAAAAAAAGTCTAAAAATCTCCTTTTCTCACACTGAAATTGGTTTGACATTTAAACAAACAAGCTTAAAAGTGGTCCTCAAATATAAGCCACTGTGCACTTTTAGTTCTTTCTAAGTTCTAAATGCATTTGTAGCATAAATGATATGATTTATTGTATTCCCAAACTTTTTTTCGTCAAAACCTAGACCAATTTGTTTTTATTTATTTTATTTATTTTTTTTACCAAAATGTACTTTTTTATTTGATTTACGTTTTTATTTATTTAATTAAATTTTATTTTTCCATTTTTTTTTTTTTACTTTTTCCATTTTAATTTCTTTTTATTTAATTTTGGTTTGTTTAGTTTTATTTTTTTATATTATACTTAATTTTTTTTTAATTATTTTGTTTAGTTTTACTTTTTATTTTGTTGTGTTTTATTTTATTTTGTTTTATATAGTTTTTTTTTTTTACTTTTTAAATTTTGTTTTTTCAATTTATTTTCATTTCATTTTGTTTAGTTTTATTTATTTTTTTTAATTATTATTATGTATTTCTATTTAAGCTAATTTATTATTTAATTTAATTTAACTTTGCTTTGTTTTATTTTAATTTTCTTTACTTTTTAAATTAATTTTAATTTTAATTTTAATTTAATTTAATTTAACTTTAACTTTTTTCAATTTATTTTGTTTTGCTTTATTTTTTATTTTATTTTGTTGTGTTTAATTTTATTTTGCTTTATTTTATTTCATTTTGCTTAATTTTTTATTTATTTATTTATTTATTTATTTTAAAATTTTGTTTGTTTGTTTGTTTGTTTGTTTAGACTTTATTAATCCCGAAGGGAAATTCATGTCACAGCAGTGCTCTTCATCCTATAAGATAAATAAAAATAAATTACATATATAAAAAAGATATAATATACAATGAAATTAATAAAATTACATTCATACTGCACACCTTAGTTTCAAACAACAAGTAGAAACTAGTCCCTATCTACAGTATTAATGCTATTACAATTCAGCATAATTCACGTAGCATGACTTTAATTTTATAAAACTATCACTGTTGGTAAAAATGACTACTGTTCCCTGTCAATTTTATTTTGTAATGTTGATTAATAAACACAAGGTTCAAAAACTGTATTACTATACTTACAGCCAGCAGCACTGTTGCACAAAAACAATTCCATGCTATCCCAACACAAACTGATTGAGTTCACTTTTTCGTTCCCAAATTTAAGTTGACTGAACATCAAATGAATGTTAACCTACAGAAATCCCAATAATTGTGTTATTTTGGTTAGTTTTAAACAAGTAGTTTGTACAAGGAGCAAAATATCATTTTTGAGTGCCACTTATAATATTACTTTATTATTAAATTGTATTATACTTTGAATACATACAGCCTTATTTATATATTTTCATACAATCTGCTTATGCCCAAGTGATGATTTTATTTAGTATAAAATAAAATAAAAATATAATATAATATAATATAAAATAAATTAAAATAAAATAAAATAAAATAAATAAAATAAAAATACAAATCTATATTTTTATATGGATGAGATTGTTTGAATTACTTTAATTTTGTTTTCAATTTATGATTAGAATTTAATCAACCTGAAAAGCCAAGTTTGGGAAATGATGCAGTCATGTACATTTATGAAATATAATAATAGCCTATCTGAACCAGTGTGTACAACTATTGACGGCAAAAACATATGAATATATTATATCTGCAGATCGACTGAAGTGTCAGGGCGAACTGTTTCTACTGTGTTGAACTCTCTCTGATCAATACATTTCAAGTGTACTGAAGGTTTGAAGCAAGCACCTTACAAACAAGACCTGCAGCGGTCAAGGACAAAGATTTTTTTTTCCTCAAGGGCTTATGGATAAAGGGTTATGAATAAAATATTGCTGAAACAACATCCATTCACACCTTACTACCTGCAAACCATAACGATACCTTCAATAAAATAAATAAATATCACCCTGTCAGGGATGAGAGTGCTGAGAATATTCCAGAATGTGACACCTATTTATTTTTGTGCTGTCCTTCCGTAGAGTTATATGTGTGCAAAGAAATTGCTGTCCAGTACAAATATTTCCTGCTCAGATGCTGAGAAACCTAGTGCTTCCAACTTACAATAGGCTAAATATTTAAATCCAATAATTATTTATTAATGGTTTTATAAGTTCTGAAAGAATCAAGCTTTGAAGCTTAGGCTTTGTGAACTGTTGCATTTTGGGTAAAAAAATACTTCCTCTATCATTATTATTAATAATAATAATAATAATATTATTAATAATAATAATAATCACAACAACAACAACAACAACAACAACAACAACAACAACACTACTACTACTACTACTACTACTACTACTACTACTATTATTATTATTATTATTATTTAGTAGTAGTAGTAGTAGTAGTAGTAGTAGTAGTAGTAATAGTAGTAGTAGCTAGTAGTAGTAAAGCTGCTTGTGCAGAGATGACTGCTGGGATACGTTAGCATATCAGTTACATT